TCCTTTTTCAGAGACATAGATGCCATCCCAAAATTTCCCCGATATCCTTGTTTTTAACTGTCTGGCTTGCTGAATCAAAGCTGCTGATTACGAGACAAGCTCCATGTCATTTCCTCCAAGGATTAATTCATCTTTCTGGACTTGAGATACTCAACAAGAAACACCTGGCCTCCTCCAAACCCTGCGGATGTATTTTTCACCCAAGAAATTTCAGATTTCAACAAGAGACCCATTCTCCTGGATAACGACGCTGGTGGGGAAGGGAGCTTACGCAGACCTCATCTTCTTTACTTTTATTTGAGGTTTTGGGGCACATGTGAAGAACATGCAAGATTGTTGCGTAGGTACACACGTGGCAGTGTGATTTGCTGCCTTCCTCCCCTTCACCTGTATCTGGCATTTCTCCCCATGTTATCCCTCCCCAAATCCCCACCCACCACTGTCCCTCCCCTATTTCCCCCCAACAGACCCCAGTGTGTGGTGCTCCCCTCCCTGTGTCCATGTGTTCTCATTGTTCAACACCCGCCTATGAGTGAGAACATGCGGTGTTTGATTTTCTGCTCTTGTGTCAGTTTGCTGAGAATGATGGTTTCCAGGTTCATCCATGTCCCTGCAAAGGACAAGAACTCATTGTTTTTTATGGCTGCATAATATTCCATGGCGTACATGTGCCACATTTTCCCTGTCCAGTCTATCATCAATGGGCATTCGGGTTGGTTCTGGGTCTTTGCTATTGTAAACAGTGCTGCAATGACCTCATCTTCTAAGGGAAGCCCAGTGTCACACCCTTGATCGTGTTCTGTACATGACGACGAATAGTCCCAAAGGTAGCCAGTCCCTTTCTGTTACCGCACCATTTGTCATCATGAAGCCTCCTTTGTTTTTCTTTCCAAGAAGACTGAGTTCTACTTTGATGTGATTGAAGTCCCTCCACAGGGTTCCTCTGGGGCCCTTCATGATCATTGTACGGCCCTTCAGAGTAATGTTGACATTTTCTGGAACGTTGACAGCTGGTTGAGAATGGTGTTCATTCTCGCAGTAGACACGGCAAAGAAAGCAATTTCCAGACATTTGTAAAACAACTGTGGGCCAGGTGTTGTGGCTCACACCTATAATCCCAGCCCTTTGGGAGGCCGAGGTGTTAGGATAGCTTGGGCCCAGGAGTGTAAGATCAGAGTGGGAAAAATAGCAAGACTCCTTTCTCTAATTAAAAAAAAAAAAAAAAAAAAAAAAGAATTACCCAGGTATGGTGGTGTGTGTTGTAGTCCCAGCTACCCAGGAGGTGGAGGCTGGAGGATTGCTTGAGCCCAGGAGTTCAAGGCTGCAGTGAGCTATGATTGTGCCACTACACTCCAGCCTGAGTGACAGAGTGAGGCCCTGTTTCAAAAATGTAAAACAAAACCAAACACAACAAAACTGTGTCTCTCTGGGACGGGAGTTCGTTCATTCTTATCCTCATTTTGTAAGTGATAACTGAAGTCCTAAGAAGTTAAGGAAGATGATCAAGGTTGAAAGATGGTTTCATGTTCCAGGTAACTGAATTACAAACTCTTGTCTATCAGACTAGATTCTGAGCGTGGTGGGATGAGAGATTGAGTTGGGGAGTGGGGAGCCGGCCCTGAAAGAGTGGTCTGAACATGGCTTTGTGTCTGTAGGAGAAACAAGAAAGCCACTTCAACACTTTGCCTCCTGCCCCTCCCGTCAATGCCGTTTCTGTCTGTAGACTGCTGGTTTGCATTTCGTTTACAGGGACACAAAATGGAACCTTTGTGCTGGAATTGAAGGAAATTATAAAAGCCCACAGCTTCTCTTCAGACTTAATGTCAACTATTTGTCTCCTGTTATTTTCAAACAAACAAGTCCTCCCTGTGAATTTGGAGGCAATCTCAAACGCCTTCTCCCTTGGTTCTTTTTACAGTTTCCTAGTCCCTGCTTCAACAGGTATGAGAAAAACTCACCATTCGTAGAATTGTCCTATCAGCCACATGGCGCGGCTGTAGGGGTCCGATGAGTCCTGGCGAGAGGCTCTGAGCAGGATGGTGGGTTACACAGATGCACACAAGTGTGCAAACAAATGATTGATGAGACTGGGCTTTCCCGAGGATTCAGGGTTCATCAACTAGAAACTTAGAAGCAAAGATGAAAGAAGAATGACTCCTAAATCCCCCAAATATCTTTCCAGCTGAAACATATTTCCACTATCTGGCATCCTATTTTACAGATTAGGAGATGAAGACATTTATTTATTTATTTATTTTTATTATTATACTTTAAATTTTGAGCTACATGTGCAGAACGTGCAGGTTTGTTACATAAGTATACACGTGCCATGGTGGTTTGCTGCATCCATCAGCCCATCATCCACATTAGGTATTTCTCCTAATGCTGTCCCTCACCTCGCCCCCTACCCGTGACAGGCCCCTGTGTGTGATGTTGTCCTCTCTGTGTTCATGTGTTCTCGCTGTTCAGCTCCCACTTATGAGTGAAAACAAGTGGTGTTTGGTTTTCTGTTTCTCTGTTAGTTTGCTGAGAATGATGGTTTCCATCTTTATCCATGTCCCTGCAAAGGACATGAACCTATCCTTTTTTTATGGCTGCATAGTGTTCCATGGTGTACACGTGCCACATTTTCTTTATCCAGTCTATTATTGATGGGCATTTGGGTTGTTGCCTAGTCTTTGCTATTTGCCAATCTGTGTCTTTTAATTTGAGCACTTGGCCCATTTACATTTAAGGTTAAATTATGTGTGAATACGATCCTGTCATTATAAGGCTTGCTGGTTATTTTGCTTGTGAGCATGATGCAGTTTCTTCATAGTGTCGATGGTCTTTGCACTTTGGTATGTTTCTGCAGTGGCTGGTACCAGTTTTTCTTTTCCATGTTTAGTGCTTCTTTCAGGAGCTCTTGTAAGACAGGCCTGATGGTGACAAAATTTCTCAGGATTTGCTTCTCTGTAAAGGATTTTGTTTCTCCTTTGCTTATGAAGCTTAGTTTGACTGGGTATGAAATTCTGGTTTGAAAATCTTTTCAAGAATGTTGAATATTGGCCCCCACTCTCTTCTGGCTTACAGGGTTTCTGCAGAGAGACCCGCTGTTAGTCTGATGGGCTTCCCTTTGTGGGTAACCTGACCTTGAGATGAAGAAATGTCTAACAGGGCTAAAATATGGAAGACAAGAAAATAACTCTCTTTTTACTAGAGGTAGACAGGCCCAAGTTGGGTGGCCACTTGCATGCCGTGCTCTGTGGGGACTTGGAATGGGTGACTTTAAATTCTGAGGCCTATGGTAGGTCTTAGAAGGAGAACTAAGATGTTTTACCTTACAATTAAAAAAAATTATGATGTGAAACTCTAGGTTAAATGACTATTTGAGCATTATTTCTTCCCTAGCCTCAGAATAATGACATTGTGAATTCTTCTAGAACTGCACCGGTGTGGAAGATTACCACTGATACCCGCAGCAGGGACTCCGTAAGATCTGGCTCTAACTAGGTTTGACAAAAAAACACACTTTTTTTTTTTTTTCTGGAGTATGAATGAATCTCCCGGTTGCCGTCCTTAGTTATATGTGTTATAACAAAACCCTAAAATATGTGAATAATTTACTTTATAAAAACAGTGGAGTTTAAAGTTGCCCTTATCAATGACACACTCACTTGCATTCCACAATAGTTCCTTGATTAGGGAAAAAGAGGGAGGACAAACCTGGGAACTGCTTATCTCAGAGGAGTGTTCCGTGAAGAAAAGAGTCAGCCCTCACGTATGTGGCAGCTGATAAAAAGGCTGAGCACCCACTACTCGGTCTAAACCAGGGCTTCTCAGAGTATGAACCACAGACCAGCAACATCAGCATCATTTAGGAGTTACTTAGAGATGGACATTCTCAGGTCCTCAAAAAAGACCTACTAAATCAGAACCTCTAAGATGGGACCTGGGTATCTGTGGTTGCACAAGGTCTCCAGGTGATTCTAGTACTTGCTAAAATTTGAGAAGCACAGCCTTAGACCTATGGTTCTCAAAGTGTGGTCTCCAGATCAAAAGCACCAGCATCATCTGGGAGCTGTTCAAAAGCATCTGAGACTCTTTTTCAATGGGCATTTGTAGGTGATAGTGGAAATGCTTCATGGCACTTTTAAGGGCTTAAAGGCCACAGAGATGGCAAAATTGAACATAGAAACATAATGAATTCTTAGATATGTGCATGTGTCTTAGAGCTGGAAAGGAACCAGAGAGGTGTCCTGGACCCATTTCTTGTTTCTAGGTAGTTAATAATGTAATCTTACAAATCTCCAGTATTTTCTTTTTCTTTCCCATGTTGGTTTAAAACAGTGGTTGCTAAATCAGCAGCTCTAGAGGTGGGCCCAGCAATCTGTGCTTTAACAAGCTCTCCAGGTGGATGCAGCTTCAAGTTTGAGAACCGCCACACCATGGTTTCCATCAGAATTTCTCCCAGCATGGCTGCATGGAGCATTAAGACTTCCATGTTTCAGCCTGGGCTTGAGGTCCCGGTTGCTGACTCGGCAGCTGCCCATCTCTGCTATTTTCTCTCCCTGATTCCACGCAGAGTTGCACCTGAGAGGTGCAGGTTGGATGTTGTGCTTGCAGTAATGTGACCACACTTGGACTCTGGTAGAGGAGACAGCAAGGTTTTGAAATGAGGACTTTTTTTTTTTTTTTCACTTCCCCTCTGTGGACCTGTCTCCACACAGCCCCCAGCCTGCCCAGCACTCTCTGCTTTAAAGCTAGGAGACTGGAAAGCAGGACACCCAGAGACTGTCATGACAGTCCACTGCTCTTGAGCAAAGGCATGCCTGCAAGCCTGGGCAGGACTCACCTGGCTTGTCTCCAGCTCCACAGAAAACATGTCCGCTTCTCAGGAGGTGAAGTCATCTTAGCTTCATGCAGAGACCATAGGACTTGGACTCCCCCAGGGTGGCTACTAATCGTTCCTCTCAGGCCAGTTTGAGGAGGCTCTGGCTAACAAGTATATTTTCCCATAGGAATCTGGACCTATATTAAGAAATCAGGAAATATTCAAAAGAAGATGGATGCAAGAAGGATGAAGAAAGAAGAAGGTAGGATTGGGAGCGTTCCCAGTGGAAGCTCCTGCACTGGGGCTGGCTAGGGTTGGAGGATTTGCAGTGGGAAGAGGCCACTGGACAGCCACTCTTGTTATGCTGGCAGAGAACACAGCATGTTCAGGAGATGGAAGTGGATTGCTGTTCATTTTGCTCCAGGCATTTGAGGCATTTGAGTTTGAACTCTGCCAGATTCATGCAAATGCCCTATCCCACAAGATCTTTACATTTGTTTGGAGGAGGCAAGGGTGAATAGTCTGTGCTTAAAGGCCTTGCTGGGAATTTTCTAGTGAGTGGTAATATCACACATGACTTTTGCAGGGAGATGGAATCCTTTTAAGGTGCGTTCTTTACTGATAGATCTATCCTCAGACAAGCTCCAGCTCTTGGACACCCATGAGGCAGCCTGGGAGTAACTATACGACCTACGTCTTCACTTGATTATCCCTATTTACAGCATTTTTTTTTTTTAATGCATTCAGTTTAGGGATGGCAAGATGACTCTTTTAACTCCCCTCCCTGCAAAACTCCAATTGAAATGACCAAAGAAATATAGAATTAGGGAAAGAATGCATCATATAAGCACACAGGGGAAGGTAGCAGCTAAAGGAGAGAAACTGAGTCATTTCTGCTAGATAGAGTGATGTTGCAAGTGAAAGATGGGAAGGACCAACACGCCCATGATTTTGCATCTGTAGAGGAACAGGCTGCTTAAACTAGTGGGTTGAATTTCTAGCAACATCCACCCCTTTCGGCAAACACCCCAAACTTCTGGCCAGCAACCGTAGTGAAAAGCTTTGTTTTTTTTGAGCCTTGTTAAGCTTGAATTCAAACCCACTACTTGTTGGGTATGCAAGCTAGTCAGCTTCAGTTTCGTCCTCTATTAAATGAGGAGAATACCTACCTTATAAGTTGTAACTAGGATTAAATGAAATAGTTTAGGCTGGGAGACATAGTCGAAAGTTTTAGCTAACATTTACTGATTACTACATGTCAAGTACTGTGCTAAAAGCACATAAGTTCTCTTTAATCCACAAGAAAGCTCCATGAACTTTGTCTTATTCTAATCACCATTTTACAGATGAGGCACTTGAAGCTTAGCAAGGTTGAGAAACTTCCTCAAGGTTCACAGTTATAAAGAGGGTAGCATAGGAATTTGGAGCAGCCAAGTGCAAAACCCATGCTTTCAAGCACCAAGCTGTACTGTACCAAGCCCTTTTACTTTCTTTAGTCCTCAGACTAACCATTTTTATTGATGAAAAATAGTAGAAGTGCAGGGGTAAAACAATTTGAGGTTATGCAAATACTTAACGTCAATCAAGTCTGCTCAATTGACTCTGTCTCTTGGTTCTTACCATTCTGTTGTTGTTTAATTGATATACTTTCTAGGATGTCATTCGGTTCCCCCACATTGAATTGGATTTTATTCCCATTGAACACAAGGGGTGCAAAAGAGGGAGGATCTCACAATCTGATTCCAATGCCTTCCCATTTTTTGAAGAATGGAGCTATTGCATGTGACTGCCTCTAAATGGCCTGCATTTCTCTTTGCTGGTAGGACTCACAGAAAACACTGGACTTTTCCTGAAGCTGCTTGAAAAACACGACCCCTGGCCAGCCTCTGTCACCTACACCTCTCAGACAGTGCAAAGACTCATTGAGAAGAGCAAAAATAGAGAACTGGAATGCACGCGTGCCCTCGAGGAAAGCTCCTGGGCATCCAGGAAGAATAAGCCTTCCAGTTTCATTCAGCTGAAAAGGAGGAAGTTGTCCAAGTCTTCCGGCGAAGTTGTGTTCAGGGACACGCTGTCGGAATCCACATCATCAATGTGGGGCGCTTATTCAATATCAGCCATGGCTCCTACCATGATCCCAGAACCCACACACTTACATACGGATTCCAGAGACGGCCCCACTGAAAACTATAACAAGATCATCTTTGCCCGAAAGCCCGTGACGAGGATGCTCCCTACAGTTCGCTACTGACCAACAAGGAGAAACACACAAATGTTTTTACCCAGGGGTCCCTGCAGCCATCCCCCAAGAATGTACAGCAATTAAGCTCTATTTGCCATGCATTTCACGGTGTCCTTTAAATCTGAGCTTGCTCTTGTTCATGCAGAGCTTGGCTGAGAGAAACCAGATCAGAATGTGGGCTGTAGGTGGTGGGTGGGTGTGTGCTCTCCCACGGTGCTGTCTGGAGGGGTTGGGCAGGGCTTGACTCCAGTCTCTGCCACAGATACTCAGCACCAAAATATGGGTGATTTGTCTGGGTACAGGCAGGAGACAGATATCATACCAGCTATTTTATTAGAGATAATATAAATAACAATTAAACAGGTGACAGAAAAGGGCAGGAGGGGAATACAAAGGTATCCATGGAGGTGGCACCACAGGGAGGAGGCATCACACTTGAGGCTTGGGAACAAGGGGAAGATGCCAGACTCGTTGAAAGGTAGTTGCTTGGAGAAAGGATAAGGGACTGAATCTCAGACTTCTGAGGTGGAGGAGTGGGGATGCCGCCCAACTCGAGCTGGTGTCTCTGAGTTCCGAGGAGAGTCCCTGTGGGGATGGTGCCCTGGCCTCTGAATGGGGGAGCTCTTTTGTTGATGTCTCTGAGGGGATCACCCTGAGGCTGCTTTTGTGAGTGTTGGGAAAATCAAAAACTACATTGAAATCTTTCTGGAAGGAGTTGTCAGTGCCCTGGTGAAGAAAAAGTGTTCTTAGGGTTAGCAACCTTCCTGGCACGGACAGGAAGCTGCTAGAAAGTGAACAGGAAGCAAACAGGAAGTGAACAAGGAGCCACTTCCTACTTCCTCCTTTAGCCTTGCAGATTCCTGCTAGTTCCCCCTGTGGGCAGAGCCTATCAGGGCACAAAGCTGGAATGTGGTTTGTAGAATTCCAGCCCCAGCATCTCCAAGCATAGGATGGATTTTGAAGCCAAGAGAAAATTAGCTCTCAGCTGGGTTCTGAGTGACCCCATTCCTGAAGCTGCTTGAAAAACACGACCCCTGGCCAGCCTCTGTCACCTATATCTCTCAGATAGACCCAGGAAACCAGCTGGGTCAGCCTGTCATAACTGGATCCCTCTTGCATGTGAAGACAAAGGTTGCTTGGAGATGGAGAAAAGTTCAGCATAGCTTGCTTTGGGGCCAACTCAGAGCATGGGTGAACCAATCGTAGCTGTCCTCTGACAAATAACAGCTGGAGTCCCGCCAGGAGCTTTTTCCCCAGGCACTCAGCTCCACAAGGCAAACCTCAGAGAAGTGCAGGGGAAAAGAGCTCTCCGTGTCTCAGCACCCTGGTCCCCACTGCCACTTTTTTTTGCCCTCCAAGGGAAAAATCTCTCAATACCAGGTCCAGGAGCAGCTTTGTTCATGAGAAACCAAGAGACATCCCTGGCACTCCCAGAAATAGACATAGAGCCCTTACTAAGGCCTGAAGTCCATCACGGGCAGCCAGGGCATGGAGTGGAATGCAGGTTATTCCTAATGTAACCTCATCTGTTTGTCCAAGCTTGAGAGGCCTGGGGTATCTCAGGTTATGCTAAACATATTTAACTTACACCTCTCAGAGGGACCTGGCTTTCTCTGATGTTCCGTGGCCGACAGCCTCTTTTTATTTATCTCCTCTCCATATGGAATTTTGTGCTTGGCAGGAGAGCTGTTTCAATTAGCCTCCCTGACGTAGTAGGTTCATGAAACATCAGAATATGTATTTTGTTAGTCTGTCTGTGTTGCTCTGTAACTAAGGCCCCATCTGACACATATTGAGCAGCTGTTTTGAGCAGATTCTTTGGCTCCCTGTACAGAATATGGTATTTACCCATTTGCAAATTCCTCGGTTGGCGTTTAAACAGTTGAAGTTTAACCTCGGCAACATGACAGAGTCTGCTGGTCATTTTCATGTTGGCAGGGGCTATTAGGACATCAAATAGTTCCACAGTCTGCAGCCTCTCTAAATGTGGCCTGGGAGCATGTCTTAAAGGAGATTAGTCTGTGTGACAGATAAGAGGCTGCAGGAGGCCAGGCGTGGTGACCCATACCTGTAATCCCAGCACTTTGGGAGGCCGAGGTAGGTGGATCACCTGAGGTCAGGAGTTTGAGACCAGTCTGGCCAACATGGTGAAACCTCATCTCTACTAAAATACAAAAAAATTAGCCAAGTGTGGTGGTGGGCGCCTATAATCCCAGCTACTTGGCAGGCTGAGGCAGGAGAATCAGTTGAACCTGGGAAGTGGAGGTTGCAGTGAGCCGAGATGGAGCCATTATACTCTAGAGCCTGGGCCACAAGATTGAAATTCCATCTCAAAAAAAAAAAAAAAAAAAAAAAAAAAGAGAGAGAGACTATAAAAACAAACCTTTAAAGAGGTAACGGCATAAACAAAGGCACAGTGCAGATGTGGGCAAGCCAGATACCTGGGGTGGCCCAGGAGCCCTCTAACCTGAACAGAGAGGAGTTGTCGACTTTATTGACAGCAAGTCTAAGAGCCACTTTGGAATGAGACCAGCACGATATGACTAGTCCCTTAGTTTTTTTTTTTTTTTTTTTTAAATAGAACAGGGAGAACAAGACGGGTACCTGAGGTAGGGATTTTGATCCTTGGGTCTTAAAGGGGGGTCCTCAGAGGCAGTGGAGGAGTCTCGTGGAGCAGCACCGCTCTCCTGCTGGAATCCCAACCAGGGACTGACAATGTGTCCGGGAAGAGGAGAATCTAGGAGAAGGAATGCCAGCCCTGCCGCCTCCCTCCATGTGGACGGCGATTGTGAAAAGGTTGTTAAAGTGCTTTGCGAGCTGGGTCCAAGCAAATGGACACATCTGGACGATGCGGTTTTTTTTCAGCCTCGATTGAGTCACTTGGAGGCTTTTTGGAATCCCCACACTTTTAGAACAAATGGCACATTTTCAGAGACCACACATTCTCAGTGCCAGATAAGAGTAGACGGATTGAGAAAGCAGGGGAGGTAGAGCCGGGGAAAGGGAATAAACAGGGACCTGAGATTTGCTGTGATCTGATGTTGTCAGAGCCTGGACTGAAGCTCAGGGCTGGGCTGACGTTTGTCAAGTAATCAGGAAAAACTCCGCCTTCCTCTTTCTGTACACATCCCCTTCCCTCTGTCTCTCACCAGGGACCCAAGGCTTCAGCCAGCTACTGTGGTGCTTGGAAATCCCACAACAGTGTCCCAGATCAGCTAAGCTGGGCCTGTCCCCAGCACGGAGCATGTATGTGGGAACATGGGAACGTGCTGGGCAAGGCCAGATGGGGATGAAGGAACATTTCATGTGAGGTGGGGCTTAAAGCCACCCCCATATTCTCTGCCTTGAACCTGACAATGATCTGATTTCTTTATGGGGCAGAGCAGAATATACAGGTACCCACTCTTGGTAGCACACTGTACAGGGCAGCAGATGGCATGGAAAGGACCTTGCAATTGGTGTCGAGACCATGTCTTATCTCCCAGGCCCTACATTCCAGGGCCAATGGAAATTCCAACCCCATCTGTGACCTTTCTAGGAAGCTTCTATTGCCGGGGGCCCAGCAAAGCTCATGGTATCCATTCACTTCCTCTCTGGATTCAACTGGTCAGCCACCCAGAGCATTCTATTATTTTTGGTAGACAAAGGGATGTGACAAGCCACAGGATTTCAGGCAAGTTAAAAACTTGACCCTTGGGGTTGTTTCTGTGCGTCTGCCAACGGGGAGGATTTTTATGGAGGGCAGAGTCAGTCCTGGAAGTACTAACTTCTGGGAGAAAGAAAGATGGCCCTCGGTGTGTCACGCTCTCTGCTCACATTTTTGCATTTTGGAGCTTGTCTAAGCTCCCCTAGATGTAGGCCCATGCTCCGTAGTTGACTAGGTAACTGTGGAAGGAGGAGAACCCCTTTGAGATTGTGCCCATCCACTCCAAGTGCAGTCTGCTTCCCCTAAATTCAGATCTCCTCTTCATTGGCGTATCCCTGACAACCCTGCCGGTGTCCTCAAGTAGGACAGATGTGCCTGTGCAGTGGCTGCTGACCCAGGTTCAGCCACGGATCCTCTACTGTGAAGCAGCTCCGTTGGAGACCCCTCTTCATGGGGCCGATTCGCCGTGTGTCCCTGGACCAGCAGCGGTAGGATGGCAGGGCTGAAGGTCCCATGAGGCCTGGGCACGGTCAGCTGTGTTCACCGTCATATTTCCAGAGCTCTGCAATGGCCTGGCCCAAAGTTGGTGCGCACGTGTTTACTGAGCAAGCGATTTGTGGGAACAAGTCTTCGCACCCAATCTAAAATGCACTGGGAAGAGGTGGTTTCTTTCATCATGTCCGGAGGCTGGAAAAACCACTTGGCTCTTATAAAGTCTGAAGCACTGAGTTGGCAGCTGTGTTATGAAGGTTCCGTCCAGTCCTGAGAGCGTGATGTGAGTGAACCCTTCAGCAGGTTCTTTTCATATACCTGTCCTTGTGGGATATTGGAGAGAGAGAAGGAGCAGGAGGGACCAGTTCAAAAAACTTAACATTGAGTGATTCTATTCTTTTAAATGGCCAATCCATACCTGATGGAATTCCAAGTAGATTTCTTTGTCTTTAACCTTCATCAGAAGGGACGTCATTTCCCAGACCTAACTTGTTCCTTGTTCCCGTGTTTGCAGCGTGCCAGCGGGCACCCAACAAATATGCACTGAGTGCTGCCTGTGCGGGGCTTGGTGCCAAGGGCCCGGCCGTGGACACGGGAGACGCAATCAGGCTTACGTTCTGGTAGTGGAGCCTTAGACAAGAGCATTGTCGCATTGCAGTGGTGATGTGAGTTATGAAGAGCAAGGCTCTGTCAGTGTATTTGCTTTAGGCTCATGACGTGTTCTCTCAGTCTCATGAAAGAGGGATTATGGAAAGAGGCAGGATTAGTATCAGGACAGCTGCTCATAAAATGGGGTGAGGTCATGGCGAATTTTTGGCCAAGTCGAATGTGAGTGGCTGGGTAAGTTTGTAAAACTTTGCGAAGCTGCCTTCAGTTTATTTTCAGCCCCTACTTCCACGTTTGTTTCTGTAGCGCCATGGAGCGTTCCCCAGTTGAGACAGGCTTTAGGTTAGGGCGTCTCTCTCTGTAGCCCTGTATAGTGAAACACAGAGTAAGTGTCAAACATGCACGCTGTTCATTCCAGGACTCGCATTTCCTGACCGCCTCTCTATCCTAGAGCGCTGAGCTTGGCAGCTACAAAGGAGACCTCAAGGCCCCATCCATGTCCTCTCCAGACCTGGGGTGGGTGCCAGGTCAAAGCCTTCAGCATCTGGCTCCTGGCCTGCTGGGCCTCACCTCACATTCCTCGTTCTCCAGAGCAAAAGGGCCGGCTCTCCCTCTTGACTGTAGCAAACAGTCTCTGCTCCCTACTTGCTTTGCCAGGTTTCCCAGGGGCCTCTCTGTAGACAGAGGCGTGGGGTGCATTTCAACCGTGACCTTGTTCTTGTTCTATCTCCTTCCACCTCTTTGGTGATAGGCATAGTACTCCTCACTCTGTCTTTTAGTCTTTCTTTCTTTCTTTTTTTTTTGAGACAGAGTTTTGCTTTTTGTTGCCCAGGCTGGAGTGCAGTGGTTCGATCTCAGCTCACTGCAACCTCCGCCTCCTGGGTTCAAGCGATTCTCCTGTCTCAGCCTCCTGAGTAGCTGGAATTACAGGCACCCACCACCATGCCTGGCTACTTTTTGTATTTTTAGTAGAGACGGGGTTTTACCATGTTGGCAAGGCTGGTCTTGAACTCTTGACCTCAGGTGATCCGCCCGCCTCGGCCTCCCAAAGCGCTGGAATTACAGGCGTGAGCCACCGCGCCCGGCCTGTCTTTTACTCTTTTATCCTTCTTTTCTTCCTTTCCTTTCTTCAACTCCCTTTCTTCCTGTTGCCTCCCTCCCTCCTTTCCCTTAGTCTTTACCTATGGAGCTTCACTGATGATTTTTTAAATTGCAAAATCAAATGATGCTGCTTGTTGCAAGTAACTCAGGTTCTCTTGACATATAAGTGACAAG